TAAAGAAATAAAACTTTACTCAATTTATTATTTACAAGCATATAAATACATATATAGATTATAGAGTCATATACACATATTAAAGATTGTATATATATATATAAATCATATAGGTATATGATAAATATATATGCTATATATATATATATATATATATATATATATATATATATATATATATATATATATTGGTTTGTTTGATTCGATCATACAAGCTTAGGATATAAAAGATATATATATGATTATTCTTTCAAATAAATATATCTCTGTATCTTGTTGATAATTGTAATTTCAAGAGTTAAGTAAATGTTGTAGTAATTTTTCTTAAGAACTAATTAAATGAATTAGGAGTATTAGTTTTTATTAATTAAACGTTAAATTAGTTTTAAATCGATTTTTGGCTTATTATTTTTTTTTCTGCTTATTTTACGGGACAGATAAAGCCAGTTGGGATATATATTATGAAGAAGATAGAGGTATACCGTGTCTATTTTTTAATTAATAATAATAATAATACTATGAATAAATATGAATAATTATATATAATTTAGTGAAATTGTATCTTGTTAAGCATACGATGTGTGTGTGTATGTGTATACAGATACACATATCCGGTATGTATGTGCTTGAATCTGTATGTATGTGTATGTGTGTGTATCTTTACATGTGATTGTGTGTGTATGTGTGTGTGTATCTGTGTGCGCGTGTATGCATGCATGTGTGTGGTGTATGTATGTGTGTGTGTGTGTGTGTGTGTGTGTGTGTGTGTGTGTGTGTGTGTGTGTGTGTGTGTGTGTGTGTGTAATGTTTTTACGTTATTTCAAATGATATTGATAAATATTTTAAAATCATTTTTAATTCAAATCAACGAATATTATTCATATTCTTACTAAAGATGGTTGCAGTAGTAGTTGTAGTAGTACTAGGTGTTGTTGGTAGTAGCTGTAGCAGTAATGGTAGTAGTGGTAGTAATATTACATCAATAAAAATTCTAGTAAATTCAATAATTTAATTGTTTTTCAGCACTTGTGATAGGAGGATTATTTCAGTTCTACTACTACTACTACTACTCTTACTACTACTCTTACTACTACTACTACTACTACTGCTACTACTACTGTGCTGCTTAATGAGTAGTACTTACAAAAACTATTACTAACATTGATCTTTCTGTTGCTATCACTACTATTACTGCTACTACTATCATTACTGCTACTACTACCATTACTACTACTACTACTACTACTGCTACTACTACCATTTCTGCTACTACTACTATTACTGCTACTACTACTATTACTGCTACTACTACTACAACTACTACATCATCAGATTATACTTCACTAAACTTTGCACTCATTTACTTCATTTCGTCCATCAATCTATCATAAACGTCATTCTATTTTATTTAGTACTTCTGCTACTACTACTACTACTACCTCTACTACTACTACCACTACTACTACCACTACTGCTACCACAACAACTACTACTATCAGATCCTCTCTTGATACTACTTCTAGTGTACTTAGTACTACTGACTGCTATTGATACCGTTATTACTACTACTACTAGTACTACTACTACTACTACTTCTACTACTGCTACTACTACTTTGAAACAAATGAGAGTTGTTATATTAGTAGTAGTAGTAATGGTAACAGTAGTAGTAGTAGTAGTTGAGTTGTGGTATTATCATTTTGAAATTTGTTATCTGATAATAGAGTAATTCAATTAAAAGTGATATATATATATATATATATATATATATATATATATATATATATATATATATATATATTAAAATATACATATCTAACATTCACACACACACACACACACACACATATATATATATATATATATATATATATATATATATATTATATTTATGTATATAAGCATACACTAACGCAATATATAAATATGTATGACCCGTTTTTATATTCTTCCTTATCTCTCTTCTCTCTCTTTTTCTATCTCACTCTCTCGGTTTCTTTCTATCTCTCTCTTCTCTTCTCTCCCCCTCTCTCTATCTCTTTTTCTTTCTTTCTGCTAATGCTAATATACTAATGTTGTTTATGTTTTGTATGCCAGCCTGCTTGTCTGTGTATTTGTGTGTACGTGCGTGTGTATGTACGTTTGTGTATGTGTATATACTTTCATTTGTGTGATGTATTTGTATTTGTATAATGTGTTTGTATAATGTGTTTGTATTTTTTGTATATGTGAATTTTTAATTGAGAAACAAAATCAAACGAAGCTTTGTGTTTTGTGTGGTTTTATGTTGGTTTGTGTGAATGTTTAAGTATATGTAAGTGTAAATACATTTATGTATGTGTGTGATTGTTTGAGTATATATTTATGTGCGTGTGCATGCGTGTGCGTGTGTTTAAGCATTCATTGTTATGCAGTGGTTCTCATTCATTATTTATAAGCCTATGTTGTTGGTGTTGTTTTTGTTATTAATGTTGTTCTTAGTAACGTTATTGTTATTAATGTTACTAGAACTATTATTTTTGTTATGCTTTTTTTTCTTATTCTTCTTCTTATTACTATTATTATTATTATCATTAATGTAATTTTAGACTTAGATATGCTTTGCAGTGTTAATGCAATTCTTCCCATCTTACTGTTGTACTGCATATGTG